AGACAAATGATGGTGAGAAGCCTAAGGAACCTGAGAAGGCTCAGACACATGATGGTGAGAAGCCTAAGGAACCTGAGGAGGTTAAGACTGGCCTCCCCATCCTTCCGGCTGCAGTCAAAGCCCGGAAACCAGTTGCACCTTCAGGCCAACCCAAGGGGAAGGCCAAGGCCAAGGGTAAGGCCAAATCCAAAGCTTCGAAGAAAGATGCTGATGAAAGTGGTGAGGGTTCAGAGCCAGAGGAGGAGGAAGAGGAGGAGGAAGAGGAGGAGGAGGTGAAGGATGTGAAGAAGCGCCCAGCCGCGAAGGCCAAGGCGAAGGCCAAGGCGAAGGCTCGGACATCCAAATCAAGTGGTGCTGCGGAAAAGGCTGAACCTGAAAAGGAAGAGAAGGCCAGCAAACCCAAGCAGCAAAGGCGGAGGAAGGCAGCGAGCGACGGCAAAGATGATGAGCCAGCCAAAGCTCGAAAGCTTTCATCAAAGGATGAAGGAGAGGCCACCTCGGCAAAGGCGAAAAGGAAGCCTTCAAAGCGGAAGTCGGATGCGGAAAAGCCCACCCCGGAGCCTGAGGAAGAGGAGAAGACCAAAGAGGGGAGGAGATCGAAGGCTTCCAAGGCTGAAGAGACAGTTGAGGATGAAGAGAAGGCCAAGAGGAAAGCCAAGCGTTCCAGGAAGTGTTGCGCCTACAACGCAGCATACAAGAAGAATATTTCCCTCGGGGAAGAGACGGCCCGTGAGCGAGCGCAAGAAGCAACTTGGTTACATTTAGCCTGTGCATACAATACATTCCAACAAATGGAAAAAACATGGCTTATAGGATATGATACGCCCTCCAAAAGTGTCTTGGAGGGCGTATCCTGTTTCTCTCTCGGTTAGTTTCTTGACCATGACCCTCCACACCCAAGGCTTACCGAGCCACTGAGTGAGAGCCTACTGCAATGAAAGATCTTTTTCAAGAAGTGCAGCCTTTATGGGAAAGGCTAACATGACCATGTGAGAACACGTGGTTTTGGGGGTTCGTTGCAGCTGATCAGATTCGCTTGCAACCTATAGCTATAGCCGATGCAATGCATCGCAATCGGAGTTGCCAACCAGCACTATCTCTCACAGAGTGAAACAAAAGCTGTGGATCCTACACCCTGATGCGCCATGTGGTTTACGTGTTGGGCCCCCAAGCTTCGCGTCGCCAGGCGCCAATCTTCTTGAAGAACATGGCCTGGATGGTTCGGGCGAAGCTGGCAGGTGCCTCTCCCCCCTTGATGTGAGAGTGGCCTTCATGTGTGAGAGCGGCTTGTCATGGGTCTTTTACCAACATGAGCGATTCTCACACTGTGAGATTGTGGCTGTGAGAGATGACCTTAGGGGCCGGGGTTGTAGAGCTCCAGCCATGCCATTGCCCCATCGCAATCGGTCTATACCATTTAACCTTATGCGAATGGGGGCGCCAAAACTCCTAGTATGTCTGGTGTCTCAACTGCACCGAAGGTTTTTTGGAGCTAGTGTGATGCCCAACCAAGAGAGGTCAAGAGGACACTAAAAACAATACCTATAATACCAACTTTCAGGATCCTTACAATTTTGGTCCTCTTGACCTCTCTTGCAATATCTTGTGCGCATCTTTCTGGAATTTCCACCTAGGTCCTACTCCTCCAATGGACTGACTTCAAGGTTGGAGGACCGTTCGTTTTCTTCGAGGTATTCAGTGGAAAGGGCAACGCTACCCGTGCTTGGCAGCATGTCTCAAAAGCATGATGCTTGCTCCCGGATTGACTGGTTACATTCATCCTTCTGTGAGATCAGGCACAGCCGAGGATTCCCATGTGCATCTTTTGATTTGGACTACTGCCCCAAAGGCATGGACTTTCTTGCACCAGCTGGGTTTGCGTGTTTAGGTTGCACTGTGAGATTGATAGACCGAGCCCAAAAGGACAACCCAACCCCAGCCACCAACGCTCAGGCTTTGTGTCCTGTGCATCATGCAGGTGGTGCCCAATGGGGTAGTCCTGCTGGCTCCGCAGTGCTCGAGTTGGGTGGTCGCTTCACGCGGCACCTCCCGAAGAAGCTTTATCAACCCGATGGGCTACACCGGATACGAATTCGTAGAGAAAGGAAACCGTCTTGTTTGTAGGTTCTTTGGCATCCAATAATTTTGTTGTATATGTACTGTGTATCATATATCACGGAACTCCCGGGCTCTATCAGGTTGGTGCTCCTTCTGATGGTCATCATCGCTTGTTCTGGGATGTACGTTGTTACGTTGTGGAAAACCCGACTGGGACATTACTCTGGCAGCATGAGCGATTCTCACACTTTACCAACAAGATGGCATGGGTCTTTTGGTTGCAGCTCGTGGTATGGACCATTTTTCAAGTAGGGGCTGTTAACGTGAGGAGTGTTTCCCTTTTCTGACTGGGCCAGGTTTATAGCATGACGTTTTGGATGGCACACTTTGGTTCAAAAACGCCAAAAAGAACCACAGTGATGAGCAACTCCCGCTTCATCCAGATGCTGGATTTGGGCCCTTTGAGCAGGCGGCTGAACCAAAAGAAATCAGACACTACAAGTGCCTCAGCTACCATCAACCGGGTCCGTAAGAGGGTCACTAGTTCACTATTAGGCGGTCACTTCTTAGATCGCAGAGTCTTCAACCATGTCCCTCCATCCTTTCCCTCTAAGGGCAATACGTGGACAAGTCTGGGAAGAAGAGATTTGTTGGTACACCAATGCTCAAGCAGTCGCAGCGCCCAAGCGGAACAGGAAGAACTATGTTTTTCTTGTACAGGTCCCCTTCAAGTGCACCCCAAATATAGACAGTTCTGACTCCGTTGCTGCCCAGGGAATATCCTGCCCGCTTTGGACATCGCCTGGTAGACGTCTATCAGAAGGCCAACCCCGAGGAGAACCGGCGCGACCTGCGCCGACATTACGCGGTTGATTTCGAGGGCTCTGACAAAGAAGTCTTCCAGGCTTATCCCACTGGGGACACTTGGGGTGATGCCAAGCTAGTTGAGGTGGTCCTTTATATATGGAATTACAAAGGCTTGTCGGTGCCTGATTCATGGGCCACTACTATGGAAGACTTCATCAGTGAGATCAAACCAAGAGCCTTTTGACGTTGTTGGCAATATTTGTGTTGGAGCTTTTGCCTGGAAGATGTTTCTACTCAGCTACCTCTTGGAGTGTGGGCATTGATCCAAACTGGGGAGTTCCCTGTCCAAACCCTTTTTGGGATAGGTCTGATTCTAGGTATCCGCTTCATTCGGTGCCTAGGCTGGATGATCCAAGGCGCCAGTGAGGAAGGGTGGAAAAGTTGCTGTCCGAATTTGTCTTCATTGAACATGTCAGAGTTATGAAGGGTTTTGCCAGAAGAATCCGAGTTCTTGAGTAAATTCACCACACATGGAAGAACCTTGAGCGTTTCTCATGCGCAAAATCGAGCGCAAATACCCGCAAAACGAGCGAAAATATCCGCAAACGAGCGCAAATATTTTTTTTAGTACTTTTGCTCATTCTTCCATGTGTGTTTTACAGCAGTGTTGTGGTCCATAGCTCTTCGTGTGGCCCGAGTACGGTACCAGCCTGTGGCAAAGCATGATCCGCGGTGAGGGGAGTTGCTCTAGTTTGGAGTTAGGCGCTGAGGCATTAGGGATGAACTGCCGCGGCCCACAAGACCAGACCTTGGACCTGGATGCCATCATAAAGGCCCCTAAGCAAAAACTACAAGTGTTTTTGCTTGCATTGGAAGTACTGTTAGGTGTTTGGGGTCACCTGTTGAAACTGAGGCTTTGCCTATCTCTGCCTTACTCAAGCTTTGCACAAAATAAAATAACGTTTGCAGGGTTCACCTCCAGGGCGTGTGGATTTTTCCATGGTCACCCCAAGGCGACTGAGCTCAATATCCAGCGACTGACCCAACAACTTCATGGTGCTGAGCCAACCCCTCGGCCACTTGCTGATGTACCGTCACAAAAGCCAGGCACGATTGGCAATTCTACCAGCACGAGCCAACAAACCCCAAAAGGCATTCTTTGGGGGTACCTGTTTTTAGCACTAGCACGGGCGCCCCCCAAATTTATCATTTAGGGGGTCTGTTGGCCTTTCTTGGTGGTCTTGTTTGAGATGTGTCAACCGGTTCAACCGATATATTTCCCCTGGCCAGATATCCCATTTGCCTTCGCGGAGTCTGACGGAGCCATCAAGTCTGCAGCTCCGACCCGCAACCTTGGTGATGGAGCATTCCTAACCCCACCAGCCAAGATAATCAGGACTGGCTCAATGCAGACTGCTCGCGGTACGCCGGTAGTGCCAGGAAGTGGTGGAGGGGCAGTGGGAAAGCCTAGAGATCCCCCTGCCACTTCTCAGCTTTCACACGCGAAAGCTGCGCAGCAAGTTGTTGTGAAGAAGGAGCCTGGTGTTGATGATCCAAAACCCCAATCAGAACCAGGTGATGAGGAGCCTGCGTCAAAGACCAAGTTTGACAAGTACTACCATAGGCTCGGTTGTTTTCAAAAGTCCATTGCTACACCTGACTGGGCTTTAGTTCTGGTAGAAACAAGATGTGGCCCCTGCACAATATTCCTCTAGGCTGGTCCGCTACTTCCGGCTGCGACAAGATGGTAAGATGATTTGCTCACAGGCGGCATTCGACATGTGGAAGACCCCTGAGGGGCGTGCCTGGTCAAAAACATCTTAAAACTCACTAACCTTAACAAAACCACTTCTTTGGGATGACATTCCAAAAGGGCGCTTCCAACATGGAAGCCTATTATTTTGGTGCTCAAGATTATCCCTTGGGTGACATTGAATTTCCTCATCTGTTTCCGGCCTCAGGCGAAAAGCTCCGGCTTTCGCTGAAGGAGCAGGGGTCTTTTGAGGGCATGGAAACTCAAGTCAAGAGGTGGCAGCAAAAGGTCTCTACCAAGCAAACAAACTCGGCTTGGGTGACCAAAGCATGGTTGATGGCAGACCGCCATTGGACGAAGCCCCATCCTTAATTCCTTAGTGACCATGATCTGTAAGAGCTACTCTTTCAATCAACTAATTTCATTTGGGTTTGCGTACGGGCCCAGGTCTATGTGCGACCGCGCGTTCGAGTGGGCGAAACGACAGGGGCTGTGGCAAGTCAACCCCATACACGGGGAAGAGGAGGCGTCTTTGGTGATCGAGCGTCTCTTCAGCACCGAAGAGCAAGAGGGTGAAGCCTTCAGTCAGAGTGGGTCCTTTGCAACCGAGGCCTGAGTTTCCATTCATTTAGTTGCGGTTGATGGGTCAACCTCTCTTGGTGCGTCCTCCTCCCCGGCTTCGCTTCAACCGCCATCCGCTCTCTGGCCAGGACACAAATGGGAGCTTCTTGACCAAAGAAGTGAATGTGGATGAGGCCTCCAAGGTGACGTCGTCTTCGGAAGTGTTTGGAGACGGGGGATCATCCTTCAAGTTTCTTGGTGACTGTGTGGCAACCAACAAAGGTTGAGAAATCACAACTGTCTTGGACATCAAGAGGCCTATCACTAGCATATAATATAGATCATATCCGCTTCCTATAGCTATAGTATACGGCGCACGGCTTCAAGTCATGATGAGAATCTTTTTCCAAGGCTTTCATTTCCCAGGGTGCAGCAGAACCAGTCACCGATCTCGATTGTTCCGGCCTTTTTGGAGTGCTTGGCCAAGAAAATGGAGCACGCCTCAAAGGAGCAGGACAGATATTAAAATGAATTCGATCCCACAACTGGTGAACACCACCTTCACTTGTGCTCCCAGACCCTGACAGTTTAGGAGAAGTTGGCTGGCCGCAAGTTCGATAAAGCGACCGAGACCCTCTAGTTGCAAGTTGGCCTTGTAGAACAAGAGTTTACCTGTAGTTCACAGCAATTCTACTGTCAGTGGCCGCTCCAATCCAAGGATGGCGGACAAGATAGGATTGCAGGTCACCGACTTGTCGGCTAAGTTTGATGCTTTGTCTGATCTTCAAGGCCAAGCTCTCACTGGGTCCCTTGAAGAGAAACAAGAAGACATCAAGGCTATTTTCGCTGAAATCACGAAGAAGGACGTGGCTCTGAACAACACTCTCGTCAGGGCCAGGCTGGGATGGAAGATTTAGAGATTCCAAATGATTGGCCTAAGCCTGGAACATCCTGGACCCCCCCCTTAAAAGCAAAAAACATATTGCCGTTCTCACAAGCCTGCCGCAGGAATGTGAAGCCACCTGCAAAGCCTGCCCGCAACATTTCAGAGAGCAAGGGGGCAGGGGGAGAGAAGGCGGCGCCCAAGCGTAAAGCTAAGGCAGCTAAGGCAAAGAAGCCAGCGTCCAAAGCGAAGGCTAAGGCTGCCCCAAAAAACTAGTTTCAATGGCTGGGTGAGAAGGGTCTAGTGTCAGCTGTCAGCCAACTTCAACCTTTGGAAAGCACGTGTTTCTCAGGTATCATGACCCTGCTCCCAGTTGGCTTTTGGCCGTGCCCTTCATTTTGAAGCGCTTAGTATTGCGCTAAACAAGGATTGGGATTCAGAAGCGAGGGGAATCGCGATGAGATAGCTGGGAAAAACACTCGCTGAACCGTGCTTCTCTTCTGCTATTTATTGTGTTTCGGAAGCCTGCACTGCCCAGACAATACAATCAATTTTCTAGAAAATTGATTGTATTGTTTCTTGCGGTGTGAGATGCATGCATGGAGGTGCTGCGCCTTGCTGTCCACAGAACATGGACGCGAACAGCTCAGGCGTGGCCTGAGCAGAGTCGTTCATGTATGCGAAAGTCATTATGTCCAGGGTGTCATGGCTTGAACTGGTCGAGGTGAATCGGAATCAGGGTCTGATTTGGTGGATGAGCTCTTGGTGAGTTTCGAAACAGGGGCACCTCGGCAAGAGCCTCGGGGCTCCATTTTGGACCCGCTGTTTTGGGGAGAAGCTGGAGAAGTGAAGTCAAAAAATGTGAAATGAAACAAGATTCAGATCTTCATCCTTTGGAGTCTATCTCTACTTGGCTAGCCTGGCTTGCTTTGGTGCGACCTTCAATAAATTAAGATTCATGTGTCACGGCTCTCTCTCTCTGTCTCTCTCTCTCTCTCTTTCCTTTGTTTCTTCCTTACTCTCGCTGTTCCTATTTTTCTAAACGGGGCCGACCCCTGGACCCCCTCAAGTGTGTGTGTGCGCACCTACCCTGGATGCGAATGGCCGGTTCTGTGGTGTGGGGCCCGGCGATTTCCAAGGCAGAGAGCGCCAGAAGAACTGTGCGCATAGCTCGCGTGGCCAGCCGGCGGATGAGAAAATTGGGACCCTTGGTATATCGGTCTGAAACAATTTTCATTTATCATCCGGGACCTTCCATTGATACCAATAAACTTGGGTATGAGTTTTCTTTAAGAACAATCTTTGTAAACAAGCTGAGGAGCTATAGATCCAGTGCTAGAGGAAATTGGAAGGTGTGGGCGAACGTCCGGAAGAGGCAAAAATTTGTCTCGCAACTTTCACGCAGTTCTTGACCGGTTTCAACGAAGGATGAACGTGACGATCTCCACATGCCAACTCACTCTCAGAACTGGGTGGCCAAAGCTGAAACCAAGTCAGGTTCATTACCCATGGATCTCCCTAACGTCCTGGGCAAAGTGCCTTTTGCAGAGTGAGCCCCGCTACTTGCTTGGAGGGCTCAATGACCTTTCTGACTTGGAGGCCCTGACGGTGTTCACCACCTTTTGGGACAAATATGAGAGCTCAGACCCGAGCCATCCAGTCTACCAGGAGTTTTTGCCAGCCGAAAGGAAATTCGTAATTCCTATATGCCTTCATGGTGATGAAGGCAGGGGGAAGAACTTCCATCCAACGTTGGTGCTGAGCTACCAAGTGGTAGTGCATGGGCGGGGTCTGGCCTACACAAACACTTCGGGGTGACTCATCTTTGCCTAGCCCAGTGAACACGTTTACTTTTAACCGTTTGTTTGCGTGCATCATTCCAGCATTCCCGAAGCCAATTTCTTCTGACAACTAAGGCACAGTTTTGGGACAAGGTGGCTGGCGACCGTCATATCCTCCAAAGTTATGACTCCAGCGACGTGGAACCAAATTCACGCCGAGATTGCTGAGGATTGCTACAGCCTTTTTTACGAGGGCGTGTCAGCTGCTAGGCCTAGAACTCCAGAGTGGTGCTTTTGTCATTTTTAGGGTTGGCTGCTGCAGCTGTCTTCTGCGCTGGCTCAGGTTGGGGAAGCAAAGTTTTTCTTTGCCGTGATCGGCGTGAAGGGTGACTGGGTTTACTTGCGTAAGGGACTTGGCTTGGCGACAGGGTGGAAGTCAAAGACCAGGATTTGCCATCATTGCACAGCAGTGGCCTTCTGGCTACAAATTTGTTTGCAATGTGGAAGATTTACACCATGTTCTTTCCAGTGAGTTCAGGGCTAAATGCATGTACTGGCTAAGCTGCAGGCTTGGTGGAAGTTTGGTGCATCTTCTGAACTTCACCAGTGGAATGGTGAAGTGGTTCCACCGTGGAAGCAAGGTGTTGCTCCTGCGCCTCTTCGAATGATTCCGGGAATGGACTCAGCTCTCCGAGTCCGCATTGACATGGCCCATACGTGGGCGATCGGCGTTGGAAAGGAGTTTGCAGCGTCATGCATAATACTTCTTTGCCAACTTGGTGTTTGGCCTCGGAGATCAATTGGTGGCCAGCTTGATTGTGCCTTTGAGCACTTCCAAACCTGGAGGCACTTGCACAAGGAGACTTGCAAGCTGTCAGAGTTTAGCTTGAAGACGTTCAAGATCCAGTCGCATCCTGGCGGCATTCAGACATGTGCTGTGGACATTGAATTGGACTCATCGGCCCACATCGCGCCACGCAGCTTAATTGAGGCTGCAACAGTATCCTGTGCTTGGCGGTGCTGGAAGCGATTGCATCTGCGTTTGCAAGTGGTTGGCTTGTGTACTGGAGGATGACAGCTTGAAGCCAGCTTTCGCCGCTCCTTGCCAGTAAAATATATCGACCAATTGAGATAGACAATCTGCTTTGGCTGTAGTTGTGTCCGGGACCGAAGTTAGGTTGAAGATGACGAACATCTTTGGGCATGTATGAAGTACACAGCTTGTGCATGCAGCGCTTGGTTCCGTGGCCTCTATGCGAATGGGCTGTTTTTGAGTGCTCACGTTGCCAAGAAGTTGATCCCATATGGCTGGGCTCTGACAGCTGCTTGCAGGCATAGTTGTCACACGGTGTGAACTTTGCTCTTTTTAACGTAGTCGTTTCACTCGTTTTAATTCCTTTTTCTTGCATTGTCGCTGAGGAAGGCTACGGCTTCTTAGCGTCCATGTGCGCGGAGCGCGGGTACTGCCTCTACCGGGTGAAGCCCAAGCTTCACATGCAAGAACACTTTCCGAATCTAATTTTGAGTTTGGAGTTGTGAACTTTTTGTTTGGCACGCTATCCCCGCTACTGCTTCTTTTGGTGCAGACCTTGTTCAGCGGTGCTCTCCAGCTCAGGAAAGAGTGGGAGCTCCAGCTCCAAGCTGGGGCTGTGTGGCTATTGAATTTTTTAGCCTTTGCATGCTGGCAAGACGAAGATTTTATTGGCAGAACATGCCGGGTATCACGGGCCACACACCCTTTTACCACAGGCCCACGTACCATCTTTCGATGTCTGATGGCATACAAGCGAATTTTGAAAAGAGAGATTCGACGGTAGTTCGGAATTCTGCACATGTCCCAATCCCAAAACTGTGCCTTAAAACCTATAGCTATGCTCTAGCTTGAGACCGGATCTCTCGATCAATGAGTGACTGAGTGCCCCGGCCGTGCTGAAAGTCCAGCGCAGATAGTGCATCAGGTTGCGAGGTGGGTGGTGGGAGAAGGGTAACAAAGACCTTCAATTGATATCCAAAATCTTGCTCGGGCACTTTTTGGGAAATCGTCCTCTTTTAGTGAACTCGTACCAAAAAAACTTGTACCCAAGATTTTGGTATCAATTGAAGGTCAAGGTTGTAGTCTCAATGCGTTGGCCCGGGCTCGACTCCCTTCTGCGTTCGACCCCACCGGGTGAACAAACAATCACTTAAGACTAAACGACCAAAAACGGCCAAAGCCGGGGTCCATGTTTCCTCTTCTTGGTGGCGCGCGCGGTGTACCAGGGAGAAGAGAGCGCGGTTTCCATATTGTGGCCTCCGACCTATAGCCCGTATAGCCCCCTAAATCGGGGCACCGACCCGTTTCGCAGAGGCCCTTCGGTTAACCGAAGGTTAAAGGATTGGTGCCCCCAGCCGCCGACCACTGAAGGGCTTGCCTTTTCGGTGTATGTTTGAAAATGCGTTTTGATGCTGATTGGCTTCAAAACGTTTTCGACGCCCCATAGTGCGAGCTATGCTGCCCAAGTTGCGTTGCATTAGCAGCATTGTGTGTTTCTAGCTCTTCTCCTCCTCTAGCTCTTCTAGAGACACAAACAAAGAAAGGGAAAAAGGAAGAGAAAGATAAAGAGGAAGAGAAAGATAATAAGGAAGAGGAAGAGAAAGAGGAAAAGAACGCACAGTACAGTGGCAATATTCTCTGGCCTAACTGGGCTCCGATTTTTTTGCTAGCAGTGGGGTGGCACGATTCTTTGGCCTAACTGGTCTCCAAAAAGGATTCGGGGCAGTAAGGTTGCAAGATTCTCTGGCCTAACTGGGTTCCAAATTGTTTTTGTTTTTTTGTTTTTTCCCGGAGCTCTAAGGTTGCAATATTCCCTGGCTTATATAACTCGGTTAGATGATATGTTGAACTTGGATACGTCGCAGCCAATGCTACGATGCCGTTCAGTCTCGCATGGTTCATTTGGTTTTTGCCTTTCATGTGGATATATGTATATATATAGTTCTCCGTATCGATCTGGCAACGTGTACCCATTCTGAAGAACAAGGGACAGTGTTGTCACGGACCGTCGCTGACATCCGTATGTGCGAAGCCCATATATGAAGATTTGTTCAATCCGGTTCACACTATCCACCCAAACCCGCCGGTATCCGGCAAGGGAGGGCGTGGACGCGTGACGTCTCGCGAGTTCGTGCATCCAAATGGGGTGGGGTTAGCAATCAAAAAGTCTACAGTATGGATGAATGGCGAAAGAATCCATTCCTTTGCAGCCTTCACTCAAGTCTTGGCCCAGCCTTGGCCCAGCCTACTATGGTCATTCCATGCTTTCGGATGCTTAGATAAGCCTTGGAACCGGACGAATGTCAAATGCAGTCAAAGGATGTCAAAGGTAGTCTCACAGCCTGTTTCTACACATTGCACAGCTCACATGCTTGTTGACATGTTCGCGTGCAATTCACCTTCTGCGCGGTGATTTTCATGAACTTGAACACTTGACCGTTCGTCTTCGGCACCTTCGGATGCGTTTCTCTCTTCGTTCGTTCCATATTTGTTGTCCACCCCCAGGTCCAACCGAACCGCCGCCCTGCCTCGACCAGATTCTCTTGGCACCATGCCTCGGTCGCGCCACGAGAGCTCACGGCTTCGGGCGCTCAGCCGGCTCTCCATCGACTTGGGAGAAGTGAAGGGTTTGGCGGGTCAAAGGTCAAACAGACCTGAAAAGAGATTCTTTTGCCAGGAGTCACAGGGCTCGGGGTGGTTCATCCCATCCAGGACCTGTGGATGTGACGGCACCCCAACTTCCTCCGTTCGGGACCGGCGACATGTGACTGCTGGCGGAGCTCGAAATATGGGGATTCAAAAAGGTACTGGATCTGTAGTGGGGGCCTCCCGTTTCGAACTTGGAAGGGTTTAGGGTTTAGGGTTCCATGTGTTGAAATCTACCTTTTTGGAATCCTGAGTTGTTGGAAAAGGTAGCTGTGAAAACAAGTTGAAGCTCAAAACAAATGGACTCTTTTTGGTTTCACAACCCATGCACTCGCAGCTGATTCCTTTTCTGGAGTATTTTAGATTTTTTGTTGGAAGGGGGTATGTTGGTCGAGAATTCTCTACCAAATGTCCTTCGATAGGGGAATGTCATCATTTAAGATTGTAGGGATGCGGTCGCTCTGAGAAGATTACATTGCCATTGTAATGGGTGTTCATTGAACATCCACCCTTTGATGAAATTAACACATTTGTAACGGGATTGACGCATCGACGGTCATTTTTTGATCGGCAGTCCAGGTAGGTCCTGGCACTCAAACTGGAGCAAAACGTGTTTCAGGTTCTTCAAACTGACCTTTTGATGCCCCCATTTGAGGTCGCGAAAAGGCCTGTAAAAGGTCACATGTCACTACTAAGGTCACTGAGGGACTCCAAAAAAGTCACTTGGAAGAAACTAGCTTTTGGCTATTCTTATGCCAATGGCAGGTTTCAGGAGCACGTCTTTGGGAATCATATCCAGTAACCCATCGTAAGAGCAAAAACACGACATGCACACTGTGTTTGTTTGAGGACAACGCTTCTGGATGTGCAGCCAATAAGCAATTTGTTGGGGAACTAGTGGTTATATAGTTTCTTCGCTCACGGAACTTTAGGAACTCGGGCCATGTGTGTTCGACATCTGTGAAGCTTCGAACAAATGCGTCACAAGCACCGGGAGACATGACCAGTGGAGGCACCAAAATGACTTGGTTCACGACCACCCTCATCGATCATTTGTATTCATTAGTGCTATGGCCCGACATGATATGGTTTTCCAATTGTGGCCCAAACCAGAAATCCATTGGATGTCCAAGAAGAAAACGTGTTGTCCGGTCACGACTGGTCTCAAGACTGGTTCTTCCAAACGCATGAGGCGGTGATCTTTCCGGTCGAATTAAAACGGGCTTGACCCTAGGGCTCCAGTCGCACCTTCGTTTCGAAGGTGGGACTGGGGTGGGTGCCAGGAGGGTCCAGTCATATAGGTGCTCAGGCTTCCAAACAGTTCCAGCTGGGCTAGTCATAGGGGTGAAAAAGATGGCCTCGTTTTTTCCCTGCCAAGGGGCTTTCTGCTGCCGGATCCTGAAAACCGCTCCCGCTCGGCCGGTTCGAACCGATGCGCGATACACACCATCAAGAGCAAATGAATTAAGCCTGTTCGTTTTTGATGGGGAAAACCATATGCCCAAACAATTATAGTTATCCACTGGCTGGGTAGGTTCATCTAGTTGCTCCAATTCATATCTAACTCTTTCTCCTCTCATGATGTGACCCATACTGTGAAGAAAATCATAGAAAATCGTGATTGGATGATGCACCCCGATCAGATATGCTGCCAAACATGATGATTTGCCAAGCTTTGCCAGTGGGAAGGAGAATGAATCCTATCTTCGGGCCTCTTGATGTCGTTCGGGCCTCTTGGTGACCCATACGCAGCCAATTCGGAGGCCAGCAAGTGCTGGACAACTCCCATGTCCGCCTTTTGCCATGACTCCATCTGAGATCATCATCGAATCATCGCTCGCCGCTGGAATGACTAAATCTTCTACAAGGGAGGAGGGGCCTTAGGGCCATTGAAAGGCCATGGAGACGTACTTTGATCATGCCCTACTACAGCACCAAACTGGCATGAAATGAACATAATGGTACAAGCAAAATCTTTGAGAAGCAAGTCAGTTCAAGCACGGAATATCATGGAATATTTCTCTTGAGCATGCCATGTCCTCCGAGAAAAAACATCTTTCGCACCAAAGCCTGTCACCGACTGACTCTTTTGAGAGGCATTTCGCAAGTTTACACCTCCAGTTCGCCCAGTCATTGCAACATGAACTTCCTCATCTTCATTCAGCACAACCTTGCAAGCGAACCGACTGTGGTCTTGGCACGTTAAGTTTGACACGTCTTGTCTATGCTATCCACTCCTTATGCGGCCGCCTCTGGCATTGCAATTGCTATGGCAGGATGAACCTCTGACTGTTGATGTGGCACACCCCGCGGCCCTCCAAATAAAAGCACAAACACATCAAACATCACAGAACCAGTGTAACATGGCCAGTTCCCTGGCGCCATCGCCGAAGCCCGTTCAGTCCTTCTGCTGAGATCGCCCAGGGGCGCAAACTCCAGCATCAACTCCAACCTCGATCGGAGGGACGACTTGATGGCTGTTACCTACAGTGGTTTCAGAGTAGATGGCACAAACCGCAAAATGACTTTCAAAATGAATCATGTATAGATATGCATAGATGGGGTCCATCTAAGCTCCATCTAAGCTCTCTCAATCCACATTTCATGCAACGTCTGGGATAGCTTTTTTCTGACACCCCCTGTGAACGAAAAGCCTTCCAAACCCACGCTAAGCCGTTGCTGTGGACTGACTCAGCCTCAATCTGTTCGGTGCTCGGTGCCTCTCCCATCCCCGGTCGCTTCCCCAGCTTCGATCCAAACGAGATACCTTTGGAGGATCCCATTCCCTGGGATAGAGTGGATGATGGTTACCCTATGGATCCACATACCTTCTCAGAAGGTAATTGGGGCTTCCAAGCCTACATAAATAGTCTTCAATCACCTTCTCAGGTTCGGTATGTGGATCCATAGGGAGTGCATGATGGTTATATAGATATGATTATAGTAAAGGGCCTCTCTCTAAAACCATGTAGAATCTGGTTGACCCACGGCCCAGCCAATCCAAGCAAACGCTGTCTTCACATCGAAACAACAATCGGACTCGCTGGACCCGGGCGCCTTCGTTCGAAAGAGTGACTCCAAACTCCATATAAAATCATAATATAAAGAGCCAATACGGGCCAACTACCAACTTCATGTCTTGGAACCGGAATGCTTGGGGATAAACTTGGGAGGAACTGTTTCTTCGCCGCGAGCATTCTGGGGAAGTCCTTCTGCCAAATCCATGCGATCGCTTCACGGTCGCGCCAAAAAGCTGCAACTCGCATTTTTGCGAGATCTTGCAAGTGCAAGTGGTATTTGAGAGGGTGGCCAGTCAACACCCCAACAAAAACACGGAAGAACACATGGAAAATGACCAATGTTTTCATATTGTTTTCGGGATGTGATGGCCGCCAACCCTGTTCCGCCAGTAGCATGGAGATTCCTGGGTAGGCCGATGGCCCCCTCAAAAAACCCACAGACCATGTTCCTCTACAACCCAGTGGTTTTTGGGTCTGCATCTTGCAGTGCCCAGGCTTGATCCATCTTGGTCCAGTGCTCGTAGCCAGCGCCATTCAGTTCCTCGATTTCATTCAGCGACCGAGCTGTCGAAGGTGGGCTGCCAGTGCGAGATCCGTGGTCCGAGCGTCTGCTGCGCACGGAGAGGTGTCGATGATGCAGAAGCTGCTTCCAAAGCATGAGTTTGTGGGCCTATAGTCCAGCATGCCATATGGTCACTTCCACTTCTCCCGCTTCGTCTTCTGAGAGTGCATCTCGATATCGATTGGCCGACACCTGTGCCACCGGAAAAAAGCTGACCGGATGGAGCAGGATGGGGATACTCAGAGGATGAGGGGCAAACAATGATAAACTTTGTTTGTTATCGCTTATGTCAAGGTATGGTCTCTATATCATGAACATTCACATAGCTCCCTCCCAGTACAGTAGCCCCTAACAAACATAGAGGCCATAGCATGAAATACGTTATCTCCATTCCATGGTTACGGTAGGATGGGATGGCAAAGCTTGGCTACCCGTTTTGACACTGGGTTCCAACCTCTGAGCGCCATGATATCTGATACCAAATGGGGTGGAATACATGTGTGAGAAGACTGTCAGCTCCTAGCACAGCCAAAGTAGTCGGCGCCTAACTCAGCTCAACCTTGGCTAAGCCCGAAAACTGCCGAAAACACACAAACACACACACACACACCTCGGCGATCAGTTCGTATCTTTCCCTGTCCCTCTCTCTTCTCGCTTGCTCGCGCGCTCTCTCTCTCTCTATCTCTCTTTCTGTCGCCTCCTGTGTGCAAGCCACATTGTTGATTAGCTCTTAAGAAAGCACAACGTTGGAAATTATTCCTAAAGGGGGTTAACCTACGGGAATGTATGTTAAAGACCTTTAGGAATGTGACTGTGTGTTTTCTTGGAGCAGTTCGGTCTGGTGGGTCTAGTTACTAGTTCAAGGACTCTGCTTGGAAAATGCCTGAAACAATAGATAGAACAGCCAAAATCAGCACGACCAACCTCCGGCCTTGTTTTGTATTTGGTATTTGGTGTGTACCTTTACCAGGGTCCAACCTTGTGAGCTGGGTCCAACCCTTTGAGCTCCCAAAATCACGGTGTAGCGCAGGAGGTCCAACGGCGCCGTTGGAAGAACTTCCCTCCCAAAAAAGGAGCTTGAGGTCCTACCATTCAAGTATGAGCAGCAATCATGGATGGTTCTTTTTCCCTCTAGCTGTAGGTTCCTGCCATGGTGGTTGAACTGGACACTGTCTCCCCACAATCCGTATTAGATGCATTTAGTGTCCAGGATCCAGGTATCCTCTACCTGAAGGTTTCCACGCACTGTGCAGGTCAGGAACAAGCCAAGCTAGACCAAGGACCATATACACCCATGCCATGAACCATACAGTCTTGAACCAAAGAGCCCCTTCCAAAGGTAAATTGCTCTATATGCGCTATATATATGCATACATATATATATATATATATGCTGAAGATGATGGCACCAACCCCAACCGCTCAACACACATTCCGTTTTACCTTCTCCAACTCACTCATGGTGGGATATGTTTACTCACAAACTTTAACGTGTTTGCTTCACCCATACCCGTGCTCAAATTCCATGCTCTTCCCTGGTTACTTGCTCTTCCCTGGTAATCGTGCCGTCTGAGGGTTGGCCCCCAGAACATTTCTTCAGACCAGAGGCGGGATCTAATTCATCGATAAGCTCCTGCATGCCACATGCGACATCATGCGATGCGGCGACCGTGCGACCCCTGAGAAATGGACAGTCGAACGAAGCACATGTCAGGCGTCGCCTGTTTTCCAAACTCAGTGGGTCCAAGTTGAACTGCAAAGGGGCGAGGCGAGGATGGAGGGGTGAATCACTCTCCACTCAAGTAAGATTATAATGAAGTTTGGAACTTCTAGGTTCTAAATATGATTCATGATATATGTAGCCCAAACAATCCATGTAAGATCCCCCTCCGGTATGACAGGTGACGTTGGTTCCCTATATTATGCCGGAACCAACCTCATTTTCGCTCATTTGGTCACAAGCCATCTACAACTGAGTACTTTGCTAATCTTTGCTATGCCCCTCACTCAAAGCGGATCCCTCCCTGCTCCCACATGTTTTTGCCCCCACTCTTTTGGATCTTTTGGATCTCTGGTCCAGTGAGGGCCCAGGTGTAATTTGTGCGGTAAATTCTGGGGTTCAGTTCTGTCGTTCCACAGGACGACAAATTGGGCCTGAGTATTTGGACCGTTTGGCACTCAACGACCTGGACGGCCGACCCAGTGTGCCATACTTTGCGTTATTTGGGGTTCTTGTGGCAAAGCCCGGGTGTTGATCCAGGGTGCTCAGAGGTGTGTGAGTCAATGTGAGTCAGGCCAATTCGCTGGTATTTACGGTGCTTTGACTCAACTTCTTCAAAGATCTTCAAAGTGTATTTTGACGGCGCCAACTTGCAGAATCTGCCTTTGAGTGCGCTCTTGTGGCCCTGCACACGTGTTTGGACTTTTGCTGGCGCTCACCCAGTCACCCCCATCCCATCCCACTTACTTCCACATTGGGAGATTAGATACATAAAGATACATGAATGCTAGTCGAAGTGAACGTCATTAGCCCCACCCCACCCCAGCCCCATCCCAACCCATACCACTTATTTCAACATTGGGATATGAGATTTGAAGCCGCTTGAATCCTAGTTGAAGTGATCGCCATGAGCCCCACCCCACCCCAACCTGACCCAACGCCGGGACATGCTGGGCCACCGCCGGGATGCCGGGACATGCCGGACATCCACCCCACCGCCGGGACATTCCGGGACAAGCTGGGACATCTGTCCCACCGCCGGGACATGCCGGGACAGTCGATTTTCCGGAGTGTTTGGTTTCGAATCCAACCAGAACAAGTCACCCTGAACTGTGGTTCCGGTGGTCTTCTCTCACATCGCCTTGGTCAGAAATCCGCTCAGTGGAATCGCTTGTAGATCGATCTGTTCTGGCCCACCTTCACCGAAAAGGGTGCCTAGTGGGAGAAAAGCGTGGAAATTTTGACTCAGGCGGAACGCATCTGGCATGTGATGTGGCATTTGGAACCGGAGCCGTCCGTGGCGCTACGAGACGTGGGTTGTCTTGGATTCTTTGTGTCCAGCGTCATGTTTTTCCGATATTTTTTTGCGGGGCTATGGCTGAACACTGGAGCCGGAGACCGGAGCTAGCCTGACCAGATGTTTGACTTGCTCCCAATCCCAGCTTGCATAGCTTGTGTCGCTACTGATTTTCCATTGCGATTTGGTTTGGCAGCCAAATGCAGCCAAAACAGACAAGGCGACTGATTTTCATAGCAAATCAGCAGCAGCTGCCATTGCTTTCCCCCAGGGCCAGAAGAAAATCAATGTCCCCTTCATCCAACCACTTCATGTCCCGAAGCACCACTACCTGGGGAGAAGAGAACATTTTGTTGTTGATTCCCCCAAGACCGACCTTGAGCTGAGACTGAGCCGAGACAGGTTGGGTGGGCCAAGTCCACAGGCAGTGAGATGGTTGATCGTTGTTTTGCGTGTTTTTGCTATGATGTGTTTTATGGCACAATCATGCGCAATGGACGAATTATTAGATGTTATTCTCCCTTCCGAATTAGATGCAGAGGTGAACTTGTAGAGACTCTCAGGTTACATATTGGCCACTTCGGAAGTGGGTCCAGCTCGAAGAAAGTAGAGGATCAGACCTCGATAGAGGCCATTTGTTCCGGCTGATGAAATTCACATGCGCACATGAGACGACGTCGAGACCACCCATTGGGTTGGAGCAGGTGGAACACCATGAAGACCTCAGGTGAGAGCGCTTGAGTCTCCATGTTGGATGCGGACGGTTTGTGATGGCGTTAAGACGAGACGCACGGGGCTCTTTGCTGTCGATGTAACCATCGTGCATTTGACCTCAAAGCACACATCAGAATACATCTTACAGTTCCTTGATCTCATGTAGCCCAGTCCAAGCATCTCCCAGCTTCAGCCAAAACTCACGGACAGTTCGCATTCTAATTACTGGCGCATTGAGGTGCAATGCCTGCGCCTCACGTGCTGGGCCCAAATCTGCAGGATTTCGAGGCGACGACGTTGCCGGAGCTGGCTGAAGCTCTTTGCTTTTGCTAGCTGAGGTACATCAAGTGAACTTATGGCACTTTTAACATAAGTTACATATAGCCAGAAATAAGTAGAAATTAGCTAGAATAAGCAGAAATTTGCTCGGAATAGGTAGAAATTAGCTAGAAATAGCTGGACGTAGGTCGAAAATAGATTTGTTGTAACTATGTATATTGGCGGGGACAAAACAATGGCCCGGGTCCTGCAGAATAAGTCCTTTATGTAGTGATATGTGGTGCTGGCTGACGGATGAAAACTACATAGCCACTAGTCCGGGGCGCTGCCCCGCCGGCGGGTTTCTGTGGTGTTTTGATGAACGTGCCTGCTGCTTATATTATAGGCTTTGATCAGTGATGACAAACTAGCACGTTTCATTTTGGATGTCCGGCTCAGCATGGCATAGCATGATCAGACCAACGCATCTCTCGGTGATCCTTGGCTCACGCATGTCTACCGAGGTTTCGTCGACTTCGCTCGGCTGAGCAACTGGAGCAATATGGAGCGAGAGATGCAATTTCCCAGGCCAATCAACCGGTTGCAGGAGATCAGCTGCAGTCCTGTTGGGACAAATGCGAATGGTAGGATGTCATGGTGCAGTGGTGTGAATTTGAGACGGCTGCGGGTGCAGAGTTTGAGCATGTCGCTCGCTGATCGCAGAAGTCAGCAGTGGGGGGTTTTCCATCGTTGTCTCGGAGGTTCTCGGAGCTGTTGCATGCTGTTGCCAGACGCTTTGTGATGCTTCCAAAATATTTTTCGGCTCGGTTCGGAAAGATCGCTGCTGCCGTCCACGGCGCCTGGCTGAAGGCCGGCGTGTCCACTTCAGGGCACTTGTTGCTTTGCGCTTTTCCTGCGCTGGCGCTGCAAGCAAAGCAGTGACCACATGTTTGGTAGCCAAAGGTTAGCAAAGTCGGTGCAGACCAATCTGAACAAAATGGCATCATTTCTTAGTAGGTTGTCCACGGAAATTATGAAGCGGCCCGCAGAACCCCGCCAAACAGCAGCTAGGCGCTATAGCAAAGCGCTTGTGGCATGCTCGGTATTCTATTGACCCTGCATTCCGGGTGCTTGGCGGAATCAGCCAGCCAGCCAGCTAAAAGTATCCGGTGGAATCAGCCAGCCAGCCACCTGTATCCGGCAGAACCAGCCAGCCAGCCACCTAAAAAGTATCCGGCAGAACCAGCCAGCCTAAAAAGTCCCAACAAGTATCCGGCGGAACCAGCCAGCCAGCATCAGCCAGCCTAAAAAATCCGAAAAAGTATCCAGCGGAATCAGCCAGCCAGCCAGCTATCAAAGTACCTGGCGGAATGAGTCGAGCCAGCCAGCCGAAAAAGTATCCGGCGGAACCAGCCATCCAGCCACCTAAAAAGGACCCGGCGGAACCAGCTAGCCAGCCTAAAAAATCCTAAAAAATATCTGGCGGAGGCGCAAATGTATCCGGCGGCTGGCAGAATCAGCCACCGATAAAGGATTCGGCGGCTGCCGGAAAAAAACTCAGATAGCCACAGCTTTCGAGCTATTTAATTCAAGGAAGAGGTGCCTGTGTGGGCTTTGCTGCCTGCCTCTGTGCTGGCGCCGTGCCGCTGCAGGATGCCGCGGCCAGATGCTGCGAGTAGGTGTGCAGCAGGCAGGATCAGGCAGGAGAAACGGGCGGTCTGCTTACGCTCGGCAGGCGCAAGCGGACCAGGGTCGTGGAGCAGCGGATTATGCTGCTTTTGGATGCTTTTGGCAGGATTTCCGAACCCCAATCTGCTGCCGCGACGGGCGGTCTGCTTACGCTCAGCAGGCGTAAGCGGACCACCACTTTTGATTCTTCTACAGCTGACCCACTGAGTAGTTGCTCTGCCCGGACAAAGGTGGGTCAGCTATAGCAGAGTCAAAAGTGGCGGTCCGCTTACGCCCGACGCCCGGACAAAGGTGGGTCAGCTATAGCAGAGTCAAAAGTGGCAGTCCGCCTACGCCTGCCGAGCGTAAGCAGACCGCCCGTCGCGGCAGCAGATTGGGGTTCGGAAATCTTGCCACAAGCATCCAAAAGCAGCACAATCCGCTGCTCCACGACCCTGGTCCGCTTGCGCCTGCCGAGCGTAAGCAGACCGCCGTTTCTCCTGCCTGATCCTGCCTGCTGCGCACCTACTCACCATTCTTTGCTTTGGACCGCAGCGCGGCCTCTCTGCAAAGACGTGTGGACCAACCTCACCACACCACGTGCTTTAGCCACCTGTCCTCGCAGGTTATACGCTTCAGTTTCAGGCGCAGTGTTTCGTGTGAAATAGGTGCCAACGCGCGCGATAGTCTGCCAACGTGTGAAATAGGTGACAGGCGCAGTGTTTCGTGCACTTCCGCGAGGCTCCAATCGCGCTGTGTGACAGGCGTTGGGAAAAATATGCATCTAAACTCGCAGGGCCCTGCTGTTTCGTGTGTGTGAACGCGCATCATTACAGGTTCGCAGAGCCTATATCCAATATCATCAAATGGTTCCCCTTCCCACCTTTGAGGCTGATGTCTGACATGGAGGAGGAGCAGGCTGGAGGAGCTCCTGGCCTGGAGGAGGTGGAGGATGTCAAGTTCTTGAGTGACTTCG